TTTTATGTAACAGTTGAATCTCTGCTGATTCATATTTTTGACAATCTAAAAGGAAATGGATCTCTCTTCAATGCAGTTATTACAAAATTGACAAAGTCTGTTATTTATTGGTACTTTAGGGATAAATAAAACTCATTTCTTATATGATTAGATGATCTACAAAGATACAGAAAATGGTGAATGTCTTCTGTGCCCAGTATGCAGACTCCACAAATTCCATTACCCCTGTAATTTTCCATCCCATTTTGTTATCTTCAAGACCTGAAGAGTTTGACCTAGTTTTAAAGACAAGGAACATGTAAATTGGGGAGTGCTGGAGGGTGAGGATAAGGTTAGCGTTAAAGTTTGCGGAGGGCTACTAAAAGAACTCTTTTCATTTGTAATATCCAGCCAATATGCGATATCATTCCACCCACTCCCAATCAAAAGCGGGTGTCATCATTAAGTAAGACGAGAATACCTAGCTTCAATATTCCGACTCAACTACCGATTGTTACACGTGCGTTTTTCCCGGCATCTGTTGTGTTTGTTTGTTCGTTACGTATTTTCTCACAGTGACCTGTAGATGGCTTTAATGTTTTAAATAATTCTAGGGAGTTTGTTTACTGTTTGTCACGCTTAAAATGTTTTTAATTACGTTAGATTATATTAATATGATATGAATTTGAACACTTTCTACAATAGTGATATGAATATGAAACTTTTCGCGTCAACGATAATACTGTTTTGCGGCAAGTCGCAAACACAACCTGCGCAGAAGAGCAATTTGGTCGGTCAGCGTAAACATTGAGGTCATCTGGTTTTGTCGAGTTCTGAAGTTTGTTATATTTGGTTCATTTATTTGAACACAGAAAGCTGTGTCTGATTGTTACATACATTGAGTTATTAGAAATAATAATTTTGGTGACAATCATGTTAACATTTTGTGGCATTTGGATGGACTTGAATTGTCAAATGGGAGCCATCTTTTCGATCAGCTGGTACTAGAATGCGATATGAATTCTGCGTTGAATTTATTCCATCGTTTGTGTCTTGATATTTAAACAAAATGGATGACAATTTTCTTCTGCGCCTTAAAAAACGAGAAATTGAGGTGAGTATACGTCGTTTATTAATTAAGATAGTGATCTGAACATTCCTGCCATGGTTGTGTTAGGATTTATAAGAACACATTAAATTTTGCAAATTTCTATTAAAAGTAAATTGCAAATCATCTAACATAGCATGCTTTATGGAGTTGGGTCGCTACCCTCTCATTGTTACTAGTACAATTCAGATGGTAAAATATTGGATAAAAATATCACAGAGGCCAGAATACACTCTTCTAAATGAGGCATATAGACTAGGTATTGAACTAGACAAAACTGGCACACCAAACTGGATGTCACGCATCAAACAAACTTTAAACCTAGTGAACAAGGATGACATCTGTAAAAGCCACACTACTGAAACCAATAACAAAGTTATTTCCACAGTCAAGGATAATATAAAACAGGAATTTCAAAGTCACTGTGATAAATTTCTATTCAATGATAAAAAAGGAGGCAATCATAGAAACAAACTACGCACTTACAGATGCATTAAAGAGAAAATTGAACTCAAAAGTTATCTCGAAATAGTTAAAAATCCATTCCATAGGTCACCATTGGAGCAAGGAGCAAACACTCAGTAGGAAAAAAATGAATTTTTGTTAATTAAAAACAAAAGCACATGTCATTGTTTTGAAAACTATTTAATCACAGCAAGTATAAACAGTCTCTTGCATTCAGTACAAGTTACACTTCAATAATACACGCATTCCATTTACGATCGTCTACAAATTTAATATCGTTGAAATTCTCGCTCTTCAACACTAACGTCTTGCAGTCGACTATAAAACAGGGACGAAAGTAAACAAATCCAAAGAAATTTGGAGAAGAACGTCAACAGTATGTAAAGCGATTATTATGATAATTTAATTGATCAGACCATGGAGGTAGAAAATTTGAGCACATGGCAGACTTAGTTTTCGTGACCAAATTATGTGTCATGGACTCGTTGACACCACGATCACAATGAGTCGGAAGTGGAACACTTGGCCACAACACTGAATTGTGAGTGTCGATCTGCGTCTATGTTCTGAGACAAGACAAGTTTGTGTGTACTATATTGATTAGTTTGTTTTAACACAAAAATAAACTCCACTAACCTTTACAACGTAAATATTTTGATTTTATAATAGTTTGGGTTTGAATATATAAAAATTGGTATTTTTGTTATTCCAGAGTCGTCACTGTTGTCGTTTTCAACGTTCACTCCATGTCAATAAATATATTCTACCAAGATTGAATCTAGAAACAGAATTGGAGGTAAGGAAATCTATTTACCAGTACATGTATTGTTCAGTGACCTGAAGGGACAACATTTATAGGTGTACATCTACCTATACTTCCTCCACATATTACCTAATACCGGTAGTACTCTTATAAGAAAGTAACATGTTAGTTGCACCACCACAGTTGAAATATATAGAAATGATCAGCCAATGATATTGGTCCTTCTAACTAGAAATATAATTGTATATTTTGATTTTGGTGTTGTGTTTGCACATGCTAGGGATAACGGTACATGAACATTTTTGGTGCGGTATCAACAAAGACACGTTATTTGCATATAGTGAATCAAAATTTGGCTCAGATTCTGTGGCGTTGTGATTCAATTTGTACCACACTATAAACAATAGTTACTAAAATAAACATGCACTAATCCACTTGGTTACAGATAAATTCAGAACCCACACATCCCACCAACATGACAACCCAAGTTAACCACAAATTTATTTATGTGCTACATGTAACCAGTGATCTTAATTGGTAAAAATCAAATATGATGTGACAGACATAATTAAATTTGTATCTTCATGTTGAAACTTTTAACTCAAGAATGGTGAATGTACAGCTGGAAACATCTAATAAACCATGGAATCTGATTGGTTGATAACTTTGCTATCATGCCCAATTAGATATGACTTCCAACATACATGTACATGCTTATGAACACATTTACCCTTTGATATTATCTCCCGCCAAATATGCTAATTTTTTGACCATTTCTCTGGATTTTATTAGTCAATATTATTACTGTTCGTGTGTGTAAATGAGTACATGTATGATGTACTATATAAATTCATAAAAGAGAAGAGGGATTTTTAGGAAAATGT